CCTTTTGCTTTCCTGATGTCACACTGAAGAATGTCCCTACACTCTTTATGCTCTTCAAGAGAGTCATTTAATTCCAGTTGTCTCGATCTAATATGTATGATTCTTTTTTATTCTTGAGTAGAATCTCAATAACTTTATTCATCTGTTGTTCTCTAATCTTACCCGTCTTACCTTTCGCTCTAACAGGAACATAGTCGCTCTAAACTCTCGTTATCACACTTTTAAAAGCCTCCTACTTGTCAGTCAATCTTTTCCCACTGAACAGTCTACTCCAATCAACTTTCATGCCATTAAAATTTGCCTTACTCAAATTAAGAACTTATCCTTTTCCATAACTTATAATAAAACTAATAGAATTATGATCACTAGTCCCAAAGTGTCCCCCTACTAACACTTCAGTCACTTGCCCTGCTTATTTCCCAAGAGAACGTCAAGTTTTGCTCCTTTTCCAGTAGGAACATTTACATATTGATAAAGAAAATTTTCTTGAACACATTTAACAAATTCCTCACTATCCAAATCTTTAACACTATGGCAGTCCCAGTCAATGTTTGGAAAATTAAATTCCCCTACTATTTCAACCCTATTATTCTTGCATATATCTGAGGTCTCCCATATTTGCTCCTCAATTTCCATCTGACTGTTGAGGGGTGGGAGGGGGTCTAAAGTACAAAGCAATCAAGGTGATCATCCCTTTCTTAATTCTGATTTCCACCCAGATGTTTTCACTGGACTGGATATTTCCTCAGAAATACCTCCTCTAATTACAGTAGTAATGTTTTCCCTAATCAAAAACACCACTCTCTGTTCTGTTTTGGCTCCCTTTCTATCCTTCTGATAGCATCTAAAACCCAGAACACTGAGCTGCCAGTCCTGTCTTTCCCTCAGCCAAGCTATGATGTCTTAGCAATGATGTCCCAATTCCTTGTTCTGATATATGCCCTGAGTTCATCATCCTTACCTGTAAGACGCCTCCCATTGAAATAAATCAGTTTAATTCTTCAGAGTTACCTCATTCCCTGGCTTGCTCGTGGATGTCTTTTCTAATTAACTTGCTCTTTTCTGATTCAGAACCATCCTCAGTTGTCTTTTTATTTTCACTGCTACTTAGGAACTCTCCCAGCCCACCTCCTTAACCGTTTACAAGCTCCTAAAATAGAACTAGTAAATCTCCCTGCCACAGTATTGCTCCCTTTCCAGTTCATGTGAAACCCACCCCTTTTTAACAGGTCTTTTCTACCCCAGAAGAGACCACAATGATCCAAGAATCTGAATTCCGGCATATTGCAACACCACTTCACCCATTGATTTATCTCCCCTATCCTTTTATTCCTTCCCTCATCAGTTCTTGGCACTGCAAGTAAACCACAGATTACTACTTTTGAGGTTCTGTTTTATAGCCTTCTACCTAACTTCTTATATTAATTCTGCAAAGTCTTAACCCTTCCCCTAACTATATCATCCCTACCAATGTTTACAACAATTTCTGGCTTCTCACTCTCCCCTTTGACAATATGCTTCAAAAGTTTTGAGATGTCTTTAACCCCGGCACCAGGAAAGTGACATACTATCCTAGATTTACACTCACTGCTGGAGAATCTCCTGTCTGTGCCCCTGACAGGAGAATTCCCTATAACGATTATTCTTCTAAATCTTGACAAACCCCGCTTAACACAAGATTCATTCTTAGTACCCAAGATCTGGCTTCTATTTTCCTCTGAGAGACTATCTCTTTCAACAGTATTCAAAACAGAATATTTATTTGAGAGAGGAACAGCCACAGGAGAACTACCTTCCCTTATGAACTACCTTCTTTACCTTTCCTGACAGTCACCCATCTATCTAACTGACCCTGATGTGTAATCACTTCTCTAAATCTATTAAACATCACACTCAGTGTCTCTTGTACGCACTCAGTGACATTAAGCCTAAAAAGAAGATGCTCTCAATAGCACCTTAGATATAAAAATAAACTACCCTTCTTTACCCACAGATTTTAATCTTAATCATTAAAAAGATTTTTAAAAATTAGACATATAAATCTAAAATAAAAAAAAAGCACTTAGCTGAAACAATGAAAAAAAACCTTCTCCCCAAATCCTCCAACTGTCAGCTTTCAATCTCAGGTTAAAAAAAAAGTCTCTCCAGAGCCATTCATGCGCAGGCCTGACCACAAGCTCCGTTTGTAAAACAATCTCTCCTTCTATGCGTATATTTTTTGTCCTATAACATTTTTTTGAAGTATAAAGTTTCAAACATTAAAAAAACTTCTTTAGATCGAACCTTGACAAACACGGGGAGGCCTCTCCCACACAAACTCCATTTGAAAAAGAATCTCCCCTTCGTGTTTTTTTTGGACTAAAAAAGTTCCAAAAAAATTCAAGATAAACACGTTTTTAGAAATGATTCAAAATAACATATCTTATGCTTCTGATATATAATAACCATAAGAAATCTACAAGAAACCCACAACTCAGGAGCAGCTGCAAAATCCATGCTACTCTCAGTTCACCATTTTTTCCCCCAATTAGAGTCACAGAGTCATAGAGTCGTACAGCATGGAAACAGACAGCTCGGTCCAACTCATCCATGACGACCAGATATCCTAAATTAATTTAGTCCCATTTGCCAGCATTTGGCCCATATCCCTCTAAACCCTTCCTATTCATGTAACCACCCAGATGCCTTTTAAATGTTGTAATTGTACCAGCCTCCACCATCTCCTCCTCCAGCTCTTTCCATACAAGCACCACCTTCTGCATGAAAAATTTGCCACTTAGGTCCCTTTTATATCTTTCTTCTCTCACATTAAACCTATTCCCTCTGGTTTTGGACTCCCCCAACCTGGGAAAAAAAGACCATGGCTATTTACCCTATCCATGCCCCTCAGGATTTTATAAATCTCTGTAAGGTCACCCCTCAGCCTTCAACGCTCCAGGGAAAATAGCCCCAGCCTATTGAACCTCTCCCTGTAGCTCAAAGCCTCCAACCCTGGCAAGATCCTTGTAAATCTTTGCTGCACCCCTTCAAGTTTAACAAAATCTTTCCTATATCAGTGCGACCAGAATTGAATGCAATATTCCATAAGTGGCTTAACCACATGTTCTGTACATCTGCAACATGTTCTGACCTCGTAATGGAGGGAAGGTCATTAATGAAGCCATTGCTTTGCGTGGAAGAGGCTTTGAACCCATTGACTTGTACAATATTTTCTTCCAGTTTTATCATAAGGTCGGAAACAGTGACATTAAAACAGTTTCACATGCTCATTTGTTTACATGTAGATCCCATGCAACTGGTTGTGCTACTGTTTCTTGAAGTAGTATCTAAATGCAGGTTGTGTAAAAGAGAGGTATTAGCTGAGACAGCCAAGGTTTTTACCCTGGAACAATAGCTCAATTAATGATCTAGGCTACCAATTTGGGAAAAAGTTGAAGCCAGCAATTTCAGCCACAGCTACAAAATCTGCAGCTAACAGCACCCAATTTCCAAGATTGAAGCTACTGTGTATATTCAATGAATACCAGTAAAACTGGGCATTGCTGAGATAAACAGTGAATACAGAGAGAAATAAGCAAAGTAACACAAATAGCTGGAGAGCGTGATCAAAAATAAAGATGAAGAGACCGAATTCAGAGAATTGAGGAAATGTAAGCTTTCCCCAAACTCTTCACACAAGATTGTTCGGTTTGCTAACAGCTGCCCTCACTCTTCTTTAACAGAAATTTTGCATCATTTAAATTTGCCACTTTAGACTAGTGATTAACAGGGTAAGAAGCTGCATGTTTGAGATTAAGGACAACTACCTAACACTGCATTTCAAATGCCTTATCAACAGAAGTTCTCAGCCCATCTGCAGATATATCTAACTAGCCTGGGTGCTTGCGTCAACTCCAAGGTCTTTTATACAATTTGTTTATATCATTGTTTAAATTTAAAATTCAAACCAGCTGTAGGATTATTTGCTTGTTTTGCCCACTGCACTTGACGAAGCACTTGTTGAAAGTTTTTTTCATTCAGTATGATTCAGGTGTTTACAGAAATGTCATGTTCTTTAAACAATATCAGACACAATGTTCATACACACACATACAGGATTAAACAGTTTGAAGTACAGTTAAATGCTCATGAAGTTTAAGTCTTATATAAATTAGGTCTGGATAGTACTGAATGTATAGATTCTTTTCTTTTGGAACAG